TGCGGTGATTCTAAGATCGACGGCACTCATCTGCATGTCATACTGACTGTCAGTATTATTTCTCTTCCCAGCAGACTCCAAGGGCATTTAAATTAAAGGTACAGTGTTCTGCACTAATATAAAGGCTCTCTGAAGCCTAGAAACACCCTTTTATAAGTTAAATTCGCAGCGAATATATTCGACTCGAATCGAAATTTTTTCACGAATTCGCCGAATCAGTCGAATCGAATTTTTGAATAATTCGCTCATCTCTAGTAGTGATATATTGTTTACTTTTATCAGCAACTAATAATCATCATGGCAGTGATATGTTGCTGCTTAAGGATAGCCCCAAGATAAAATAAAAATGATGTCAGAGACCTGATCATTATTTCCTCATTTAAGTACTATTCAGAAGAGTTGATAGCTGGTTGTTATAGCATCAAACTGAGTTCTGCTTTTGTTAAAAGAGCAGTGAGACTCAAAACTGCTACCCTAGTGTTTTAAACTGGCACTGGGATATAAGTGATTGAAGTGTTAAAGCGATATTAAACCCAATAGCAAACATTTACTATATTGCAGCTGACCAATTCTTAGATGTGATTCCTGAATTAGCTTTGTTTTTAAGGCTTTCTTCTATTTTCATCTGATAATCTAGCCAGTAAGCCTGTTGTTCTTCAAAAGAACAAAATCCCTTACAGCTGTATCAATTTATAGGGATGAGACAAACTATTTGCCACTGACAGGGGTGAGTACAATGAACATCTTTTATTTATGTTAAAGCTTTATCTCTAAAAGAAAAAGAAAACTATTTGCTGTAGCTGATTATAAAGTGTCAGCTGGAGTTCAGCTTTTATGTGTTAGTGTATTTAAATCTGCTAGTACATCTAACACCTGACAATGCTGCTGTCTGCTGTGACCCCCTGTGCTGTTCTTTCATCCAGCATGGGGGTACTCTAATACAGGAAATGTGTTACTGACCAGATCACCAGGTGAAAAGAGCAAAAAATGCTTTAAAAAAGAAAATGAATGAGGCCACCAGATCTAATGACTGGTAAGCTGCAATATATTGCATTTTTTTTTTGGGTTTAAGACCGCTTTACGGATGGAAAACATTGCAATGAAGTGTAGTTGTGCCTTTCCTCCCAGTTTTACAGATAAAATAATTAGTAGCCTTCAGTTAGCCCTCATTAATCAATTTTTCAGTAGCCCCTTCTAAAAAAAAAGTACTACAGAGCATAAAATGATCTGGATAAAGAACATTTCCACAGCAAGTACTCAGAATCTCTCTTTCATAAAGAGATGAATCATATTTCTGTGTGCAACAAAACATGGTCTCCCTTCATATTTTTCCTTTTGGCTTTATAAGGCTTTATAATCTGTATTTGAAGTAGCTTAGGAATTTATGACATCATATATAAAATCATCATGTAGGAAATAAATCGTACAACATCCATAATTCTTTAGTAGTGGCTGCTGACTGGTTGCTAATGTAGCACCCTCTAGTGTGCTACTAGTGTTGTATAGGTAAATGTATTGTTGTATGACTCATGGTAATTGTGTCAGTCTGTAATTAGGTTGGGTTACTGCAGGTCAGGCTGGGTGACTCAGCAAGCTGGGAGTCTATTGCCTCCACCTGGTTCTGGAGGTCCATGGAAGCTTCCAGAAGCCAGTGGGTGGAAGGGGTGGAAACCTTAATCTGCATAGTTGTGGGAGTCTGACCAATCCCAGGCTAGGAGGCCTGGTAGTGTGGTGAGGCTAACCCATTAATATGGAGAGTCAGTCCAGCAGGGGAGTCGCATGGAAGAGGGAGTGCTGAGGAGGCTGTCTGTGGCTTGGGAGGGGTCCCCTAGGTCTAGAGGGGCTGTTCTCGTGCTGGCTCAGGAAGATCCATGCAGCATCACAATATGAACAGGATTAATCCCTGGGAGCAGTGGGAGCAAAGAGGACAGAGTACAGTAAGTACATCAGCACACCCACAGACATCTTTTAACTGCCAGTATACACCTTATATTCTACATTTCTTCTAAACCCTTTTGACTAAAAGACAACTTTGTGTAGCAGCCTTTAGTGTGCTACTAGAATAGTGTAGGCAAATCTATTGTGTATGACTCATGGTAACTGTGTGAGTCTGTGATTAAGGCTGGGTTACTGCAGGTCCAGGAGGACAATGGGGACCTTCTAGAAGCCAGTAGGCGGAAGAGGTAGAGACCTAATCTACATGTTTATGGGAGTCTAACCAATTCCAGGTTTGGAGGCCCTGGTAGAGTGGTGGACCAGCCCATAAATATGGGGTAGTCAAAGCAGAGGGAGGAGTTGGGTGGAAGATTGAGTGTTGAGCAGTCTGTTGGTGGCCTGGGAGGGGTCCGCTAGGTCTAGGGGGGCTCAGTAGGATTCATTCAGCAGTAACGCATGAACAGGATCAAAATCTGCGAGCAGTGGGAGCAAGGAAGAGGGAATGAGTACATCCACACACCCAGGGATTCACAAGGGGAGAGACTGCCACATGTAGCAAGCTTTCAAATGACAGCGCTGTGCTTAATCCTTTATCCTTGTCCTGGGAGATCTTCAGAGCAGTCAGGAGGGCTGGTAATGTCTGCAGGCTGTGGAGCTGGGAACAGTTCCACAGGGGAGAGGAGATAATTCTGTGTGTAGTTTGCAATAATCTAAGCTAACTTTCAGAAAGGGTTCAAAGTCCCAAGCCTGTAAGGGGCTTTTGCTACTGATCCATAAAGACTGACCGCATTCAAGGAGAAAAACATTCCAGAATCTTTTTCTGTAAATATGAAGGAAGTTGTCCCCGTGCATTGATTCCGTTAAGCTTGGCATCCCATAATCCCTATTATCCCATCCAAGTTATATTCCCCTAATAAAATAACAAAAACCAAACTCATGGACTGTTCACTGACTGTGGATGCAAGTGTGGAAAATGTGTTTTTCCTCGCTGTGTGAAGCCTGGGAACCCAGAAACACAATGGCCCTCCAGAGGGTAGTGTGCTACAGTAAGGTCATTTCATTTATACATAATTGCTGCGTAATCTGTTATGCTGTGTGCATGAGTCAAAAATGTTCATCAAGATCAAAGTGTATAATTTCAGCTTATAAAGATTTGTGCAAATGAAATAAATACAATGCAGAAAGTGAAGTGCTAGTATACCTCTAGAACTATACTGCTCTAACATATCGAAGTGAAATGTGAAGCAAGGAGCAAAATGTGACTTCCCTGGAGGAATGTGAATACATTCGAATAAATGTCTATCAATTGTGTAAAACACAGACATCAGAAAAATAAGTGCAATACCAGGTCTGACAAATGATTCTGGCTGTTTCCCAAGAATTTAATTTAATGTGCTCAAGGGACAAGCAATCCTGTAAAAAAGGATGGTAATAAAAGTGATTTACCATATAGGAAGGCCTATATATGTAAGTATATAGAATAACTAAACTTATACCATCATATGATATCTAATAAACTTTTAAATACAGAAGGATAATTGATTATTCCTTGTAATCCGTAGAACTGGTCACCCATTAAATGTGGCAGTGAATTACTTATGCCAGAAATTTACAGCCTTGTAAATTTATTCACTCTGAATGTATTCTCTCTTGAGAAGAGGAGATTAAGGTGGGATATGATCAACATGTATAAATACATCAGTGGTTCATATAGTGAACTCGGTGTAGAGTTAATCACCCTGAGGTCATCAGAGAGTACAAGGGGGCACTCTTTATGTCTGAAGGAAAAGAAATGTAATCTTCAAACACGGAAAGGTTTCTTCAAAGTAAGAGCTGTGAAAATGTGGAATAGACTCCTTCAAGAGTAGCAATAATGTCTTTCAGAAATAGCACCTGAAATTGCATACATATCGCGTGATTTTAAATCGCAGCAGTGTGACCGGTGACTTACTCAAATTGATGGCTCATAAATACTTTACTTATCACTTTTAAAAAGAAATAAGCTTCCTCTGTGTTGACACCAAAAATTTAAGAAAGTTCAGTTGCTATTTTTACATTTCTATAATGTGTTGCAATATAAAGCATTTAGAACTGCTTAAAGGTCACATGATTAAGGGGGGATATGATTAACATGTATAAATACATCAGTGGTTCATGTAGTGAACTCGGTGTAGAGCTATTCACCCTGAGGTCATCACAGAGGACAAGGGGGCACTCTTTACATCTGGAGGAAAAGAAATTTAATCTCCAAACACGGAAAGGTTTCTTCACAGTAAGAGCTGTGAAAATGTGGAATAGATTCCCTCAAAAGTTGGTTGTGGCCAGCTCAGTGAATTGCTATAAAAAAGGCCTGGATTCTTTCTTGGATACACAGAATATAACTGGATACTAACATTTATAGGTAAAGTTGATCTAGGGAATATCAGATAGCCTCTCGGGGGATGAGGACGGAATTCTTTCCCCTGCAGGAGCATATTGTGTCATGCTTTGCTGGGTTTGTTTCCTTCCTCCGGATCAACTGTGGGTGTAGGAATTTAACTTTTTTTTTTTTTTTTTATGGTTGAACTGGATGGACTTTTGTCTTTTTTCAGTGAGACTGAAAATGCAAAGTCACATATATATATATACGTGATTTTGCGCACCTGTGCTGCCCTTTAGCAGTATATCTGCTATAGGGCGGTCAGGAAGCGGTTTAAAAAAACAATAGACTTACTAGCCAGATCACCAGATAAAAATAGAAGAAAGAAAGCCTAAAAAAATAAAACAAATTCAGCCATCACATCTAAGAATTAGTATGCTGCAATAATAAATGTTTGCTTTTGGGTTTTATAATACTTTAGAGAATATTTAAACCCAACATGTCATATTCCTGATTTGTGCCTGCTGTACCATGTACTTGTATGAATGAGTATCCTGTTCTCAAAGCATTGCTTCCTTTCTGTGAAATCCCTATTGTGCCTGTCAGTCCCTCTGCTTTCCTATTAAAAATTGACCACACTAGGCATAAAAACACACTGTGATTAGTTCTCTAGCTGTGCTGGGAACTCAGCTTGTTCTCCTCCAATGCAAGGGTGGACTGACCATTTGGAAACTCGGGCACTGCCCGAAGGCCTGGGGTCAGTAGGGGGCCCGATGAGATGCCCCTGGTACCTTTTTCATAGGCTTTTTTGAGTTTGGGCAAGGACACAGGCACCCCATGATCCCCTATTGCCCGGGGGCCCCATGAGTTGTCAGTCCGTCACTACTCCAATGATCAGACTTGTTCTGACACCAACCCCCCCTCCATGTGCAGTTTTTGCACTGGGAAGATTTGTTTGTTGCTGTTTCTCCACCCCTAGCTTTTATGCAACCAAGAACAGAGAGGATGTGATTACTTATAAAAAAAAGGGGAAAAATGTATTTATATATTTTTTTTATATCTGTGCATAAATGTTTTTTCCTTTTATTTCTATTTTAAACTGAATGGGTTTTTTAATAACGTGAGGGTTTACATATACTTTAAGGGTGCATTCACAGCCACGAATGCACCTGATGCTGACTACATGTGAGAACCCTGGGAAGCAGGGCAGGGTTTGCACCCAGCAATTACCTGCGGGAGACATGATGTTGTGATCACATGCACATGAACAGCGCTGGATGCAGACTGCCAGCAGTGTTGATGGCAGGTTTTTTACACTGCCTTGCAAATTGACTTTTTTTCACAACTGACCTTAGAGTCTAAAATAAAATTGTTTGATAGGCTGCCAATTTGCAAGTCTTATTTAGTAGTGTAGGGACTCGTTCACATGTGCATCAGTGCTTGCTGCTGCTCTGAAAAGCAATCCGGAGTAGATCTCTTTTCAGAGGCATTTGACAGGCAGGCTTATGAGGTTTATGTTGTTTCCTCAAACCTGCTTTAGCCCTAAGACTAGGTTCACACTGTAGCAGTGTGAGTTTATTTGGTTTTCAAGTGCGATTCAAGGAGCACCTCCAGTGCGATTTTGCTGTGATTTCCAATGTATTTGTCATGCGATTTTCATGCAGGTGTGATTTGGATTCAGAGTGGGGATCTCTTCTCGCTCGCTCGACATGCACTGGAATCGCATTAAGAGAAGCTGTTCACATGCAGTTTCCAGTCAACGCTATGTGGTTCAAAATCAGATCGCTCCACTTCAAACATGCACATGACCCTTTTTTAAAAACGCAGTGTGTGTGTGGACTGCATAGATGTGAACGACCTCCATAGGAAAACATTGTATTTACCATGGCAAGTGATTCACAGTGGTCTAAAACACATGCAAAACGGCAACATTGTAAATCAGGGCTTAAAAGAGAAGTACAGCCAAAGCTTTTTTTGGCCATACTTCTGTTGTGGGTTACAGGAGTATATTTAGTTTTGCTCTCCTGTGATCTACAGTCCCATTGCTTACTGCTGGCTGATGTCACAGAGCTGGAAGGATCCTGATCATATGGGATCCACTTAGATGCTTGATTGACAGCTGGCTCCAACTCTCAGCATGCACGTCTCCAGCCCAGCCGCTTCAATGAGCACTGGAGGGGCAGAGCAGAGAGCAGTGACTGACAGTTAGTATTGTTCACTCTGAGAAGACTGAGAACTGAGAGATCAGAGGTCATGGGATCTCTCAGTTCTCAGTCCTAGCCCTGGTTCACACTGGTGTGAATTAACATGCAATTTGACAGTTTCAAATCGCATAACAAGTTGCGCCCTGTTGTCGGCATTTTACAAGTGTTGGTTGCCCTTTCTTGTACCACATCCTGTTAGAATATAGGTCTCAGAAGCTATATATTTGGTAGTGATTTCGCTATGGTGGTATCATAGGCTTTTATAATTTTATGGAGTTGTTTAATCTGCCTAGAATAGATTTTAAAAGAAAAGCAGGACTTTTTTTCCTCCATTTATAATTACCTAGGTGCAGGGGCGAACTGACAACTCATGGCGCCCCCGGGCAATAGGGGATCATGGGGCCCCTGTGTCCTTGCCCAAACTCAAAAAAGCCTATGAAAAAGGTACCAGGGGCATCTCATGGGGCCCCCTACTGACCCTGGGCCCTCGGGCAGTGCCCGAGTTTCCAAATGGTCAGTCCGCCCCTGCCTAGGTGGATGCAGCATCGGTCCAAAGCCTCATCTGTCCCCTGCTGGCTCTAAGCCCTCATGCACACTGGATGTTTTTACAGCGGCTGTTTTTGACTTTTGACGTTTTTTTTCTACAGACAGTAAACTCCCCAGCATGTTATCCTATGTGTCCATGCACACATAGACTGTAATCAGCGTTTTTTGGCTGGAAAAAACCTAGGACTAGTGGGTTTCTAGAGGAGTTTTTTAGCTGTAAAAACGCTGAAAAGCGTTTTACCGCAAACCAGTGTTTTTGGAATTTTTTTGACCCCCCCCCCAATTTTCTTTGCAAAAAAAAAAGCTAAGAAATGCAAACATGGAAAAACGCTGGTAATCACGGCAAAACACTGCTAAACGCTAATGCAAAAATGCTAAAAAAAGATGAAAAAAAAATCACGTTTTTAATGTAACTTTACACAGCTAATGTTGCCAGCGTTATCGAAACATCCAGTGTGCATGAGGGTAAGTGTGATCACTGAGTTCTGCTAATCACTGAGTTCTCATAGCCGCTCTAAGCAGAGAGCAGTGACTGTCAGCCACAACTGTCTGCTCTGCCCCCCCCAGGACTCACTGGAGTGCTGGGCTGTGGAGTGGGAGGGAGCGTCTGGCTCAGGCACTCAGCGTCTCACTGAGAAGCTGAGCCAGGTTCCACTCCAGACTTTGGGGTAGATCTTTCCCCAGCCTGGACTGGCTGAGTGACATCAGCCAACAGTGGACTTCAGCCCTCTGTCAGCTGGAAACAGGTCACAGGAGTACAGATTGAACTGCACTCCTGTGATCCACTGGAGAAGTACAGCCAAAAGAGCTTTCGCTGTACTTCCCCTTTAACGTATGCTTTTGTAAACTAATAAATGTTTGTGTGATTGTCTTAAATGCGTATACATCCTTCTTGGTACCAGTAAGTCCATATTTTTTCCCTTTGGGGTATTTTCTCTATTGTCGGCAATTGAACTATTCAAATCGGTGCGACTCCAACTTTACATTGCCGCGCCAATTTGAAAAAAAAGTTCCTGCCCTTTTTTTTGCAATTTCAGGTGAGACTTGCATAGACATCTGTACATGAAGTTGCACAGATATCAGCCAAGTCGCACCTGAAGTCACACTGACATGCAGCTTTGAAATTATGCAACTTCAAGTGAATCATATCACTCTTTTATTATGTGATCAGCTGTGTCCAATGACACAGCTGATCACAATGTAAATACTTTTGCCGGTTATTGGCTGGACTTTCTTCACACTGTCACAGTGTAAGGAAAGCGAAGAGCTGGTAATCGGCAAATCAGCATTTCTCTCCTCTCGAGCCGTCACGCTGACAGCTCGAGAGGAGAGGAGAGCCGGTAATCGGCTTTCCGTGGAGGGGACATGTACACTGATCATCAGGACACTGATGATCAGTGTGCCCTGATGATCAGTGTGGCCCCAGAAGTGCCACCTGTCAGTGCTCATCAGTGCCACGTGCCAGTGCCCATCAGTGCCACATCAATGCCACATATCAGTGCATACCAGTGCACATCAATGCCACATATCAGTGCCCATCTGAGCTGCCTTTCAATGTCACCCATCAGTGCCAGTCAGTGCCGCCTATCAGTGCTGCCAGTCAGTGTCGCCTATCAGTGCCAGTCAGTGTCGCCTATCAGTGCCAGTCAATGCCGCCTATCAGTGCCAGTCAATGCCGCCTATCAGTGCCGCCTATCAGTGCCATATATCAGTGTCATGTATCAGTGTCATGTATCAGTGCTGCCTTTCAGTGCCCATCAGTGATGCCTGTCAATGCCCATCAGTGCAACCTACCAGTGCCTCCTCATCAGTGCCCATCAGTGCCATCTATCAGTGTCCATCAGTGCAGCCTATCAGTGCCCATCAGTGAAGGAGAAAAATCACTTATTTACAAAATAGTATAACAAAAACTAAGAAAAACGTTTTTTTTTTTCAAAATTTTCAGTGGCTTTTGGTTTGTTTAAGAAAAAATAAAAATCCCAGAGGTGATTAAATACCACCAAAGAAAGCTCTATCTGTCTCAAAAAAATGATAAAAATGTCATATAGGTACAATGTTGCATGACCGCGCAATTGTCATTCAAAGTGTGACAGCGCTGAAAGCTGGAAATTGGCCTGGGCAGGAAGGGGGTATAAGTGCCCTGTAGGCTAGTGGTTAAACAGCCCTACATGGTATGTTCTGTGCCCCCTCTCCTAACTGCAAGTGGTTTGATCCTGGTAGAAGTTGTGAGGAGGAGAGTGCAGTCTTGTCAGAGGGTGTGAGGAGAGGCTGGTTGTAGGTCATAGCTGTCTGTGTTATATACGGACTCTGAGTACAGAGAACTGTTAGTAGTAGAGCAGCATTGGACGAGTGCCAGTCAGACAAGGTGAGCGGAGGGTTACTGGAAGGCCCAGGTTACTGGCCTGCATTTTCTTACATGTGGACCTGTGGCAGCATGTGAGGGGCTGAGTGCTAGTCTGCTCAGAAGGAGGAAGCAGAGGCAGGCTGGGTGTCAGTCACTGCTCTGATTTACCTTTCACTGTGTGTATAGAACTGTGACAGCCATTATGTGAGGAGAAGAGTACAGCCCTGTCAGCCATAGTGAGCACATGCTGGAGGGTTCTCACAGGCAGGGGCGGACTGACCATTTGGAAACTCAGGCAGTGCCCGAGGGCCCAGGGTCAGTAGGGGGCCCCATGAGATGCCCCTGGTACCTTTTTCATAGACTTTTTTGAGTTTGGGCAAGGACACAGGGGCCCCATGATCCCCTATTGCCCGGGGCCCCATGAGTTGTCAGTCTGCCCCTGGTCACAGGTGTACTGCCTTCTTATATTAGGGCAGTGAGGGGGAGTTATCCAGACTGGAGCAGCTAAGTATAGCAACCAATCAGTTTTCTTCATTCCCAAAGCTTACCTGAACAAGCTGAATATAGAAGCTGATTGGTTGTAATACACAGCTGTTCCAGTTTGAAAAAAGTCTCCCATAGCGCTGTATAGGGAATGGAGACACAATCAGTGTGTGTGTGGAGAGTGAGACATGATTGTAAACACTTAAAAATAATAACAAACAGTGTTCTACTTACAGTACCTGCTCTTTGCAATGGAATTGCGAAATTGCACAGCCCAATCCTCTTCTCAGATCCCCTGCTGGTGCTTCTGTCTCCTCTCCTTGGTGTGCCACCACAGGAAGCCTCTTGCAACCTGCCACTCCTGTAGAATTGATCCCGAACCGCACTGCCTGTGTCCATAAACACAGACAGCGTGGCTTGGAACTGCCCCCCCCCGCACCTTCATCACAGAATTTGACTGACAGCAGTGGGAACCAGTCCTGCCTCAGCAAAGCCTGTGGGGGCGGGAAGAGCCGCTACAGACTGGATCGAGTGGGGGCTCAGGTAAATATGGGGGGGAGGGGAGTTGAGGGGGCATACTGCTAGAGAAGTTTGGTAATTGAAAAAAAAAAAAAACATCATACTCACCTAGGTGGATGCTGCATCTATCCCCCACTGCCTCTACACCCAGAACCGAGAGATCAAAGACCGCTGAGCAGAGAGCGGTAACTGTAAGTCTCTGGCTCGCTGCTCTGCTCCTCCAGTCCTCACTGGAGCACCAGGCTGTGGGAGCAGATAGCTCAGGTTCTCAGTGGCTTTCTGAAAGGCTGAGCCAGCTGTTGGTTTAGGCATCTGGGTGGATCCAATTTGTGATCTCTGCTGAGCCTGGACTGACTGAGTGACGTCAGCCGACGGCGGGTTTTAGCCAACTGAAAATGGGTCAGCGGAGTGCAGAACATAAGAAGTGCACTTCTCTGATCCATAGGAGAAGTAGGTCCAAGATAGCTTTGACCCTACTTCTCCTTGTAAGGTAAAAAAGAAAAAAAAGTTTTGGTTTTAGAACCACTTTTAGTACAGTTCAGTCAGGCAGAGTAAGAAAGAGGATCAGTTACATGTCACTGCACTGTTTTACCTTCTATATGGATGATGTGTATGTAGAACTATGACACTGAATGATATTCTAAGGGCTCAAGTACACGGGGCATTTGGAAAACTCTTCTGAACAATGGAAACTGACTGCTGGAAAACATAGGTTAAAAAATGTCAGTTTAGCCGCGTTTGCATACCGCGTTTATGCGCGTTTGCGTTTAGAAGTGTTTTTAAAAGATAACTTCAGGAGACCCTCTGAAATGCCCAGAATGCATTGAAAGATAGTACAAAATTAACAATTTTAGACATTTTGAGAGGAATAGAGAGAGCAGAAGCAGAGAGAGCAGTATGTGTTGAGATGACCTGTCTTTTCTGGTTGCATTCACTATGGATCCCATCATGAGCATAATGCAGCATGTTCTACCATTTTTTTTTTCCTTCATTCAAAACCTGGAACTGACTGCACTGGTGTATCGGGTCCATTTGAATACATGGAAAACACTCTGCATGCATTCCTGATGATGAAAAAAGGCTCTGCACAGCATCTGGACACGGAACAGTTAAAAAACGCTTCTAAACGCAAATGCTTATAAACACTGTTAACCGCGTTTACAAGCATTTGGCATTTGAAACGTTGGTAAAATCTCCTGAACGCAAGTTTGGTGCGTTCACAAAAATGACTGTAAACTCAACTGCCTGTAAATGACTGTAAACGACTATGTGTACATGGACACATAGGAACACATTAGGGAGAGTTCAGGGGCTGCTGAAAAAACGCTGAACAGCTCCTGAAAGTCAGTTTAGGAGCTGCAGTGTACATGGGCCCTTATTCTCCAAAAATAATCCATACACACCCACTATTTAGTGGCCCTGTAATCTATTTTTAATTAAAAAGTTTCTTTCTGTGTTTTTCTACCTCCTTGTAACATTCTCTGTGGGCTCCTGAACTTCTCATTTTCCCTCTCACTGTTGTTTTGTTTGGAACAAGCAGTGCAATCTAGTTGTGATCATGTGTACTGCTCCTGTATACAGGACCTCTAGCAAGCAGTTAAATCACAGCAACAAAAAAAGAAACAAAGGATTTGAAGGAGGTTGAGAAACAAAAGAAAGGTGCTTTTTTGAGGTAAAAATACATAGATGTAGAATTATTATTGTTTTTATAACCAGAGTGTAGCCTGGTTTACACTAGATGCAACTGTGAAATTGCACTACTTGAAGCCGCATGTTAGTGCGGCTGCAGGTGCGACTTTCTTGCCACTAAAGCTTTTTTTTTTTTTTCAACAAACATGTCTATACTTACCTGCTCTGTGCAGTGATTTTGTACAGAGCAGCCCCAATCCTCTTCTTTCCGGGTCCCCATTGGCGCTCCTGGCTCTTCCCCCTCAAGCAGTGCCCCAAGGAAAAGCCACTTGCCCTGGGGGCACCACTGTGTCCATAAAACACATAGAGCCACAGCTCGGCCCCATTCCCCCGCTTTCTCCTCATGACAATCACTAGCTGTGATTGACAGCCACAGGAGCTCCCACTGCTGTCTCAGGCAATGAGAATAGCAGAGGCTGTCAAGAGTGTTGCTGAATTGGAGGGGGCTCAGGTAAGGGTTGGGGGCCACTGCACACAGGTTTTTTACCTTCATGCATAGAATACATGAAGGTGAAAAACCTTGACCCATTAGAACCATTTTAAGCAGACCTTCAATCAAACGTACAGTGCCCTAACACATTATTATTATAATTTTTTTTAAACACATTGAATGGATACAGGTTACAGTACTTCCTTAGCTTACACCAGGGGTCGGCAACCCACAGCACACGTGCCAGACATGGCACACCACAGCATTTATGATGGCATGTGAGCTGGGTTGGCAATCATCCGTATTGCCATCTCTCAATCCACTGACGCTGCATGCAATCCCCGCCTCCCCATCGATGCCCAGTGCAGCTGCGCTAATTGGCTGTGTCTGGGTCATGGGATGGCGGCGAGTGCGCAGTTGCTGGATGCCCGCATTGAGTGTGACGTCACACTCCAGTTCACAAAGGTGGCAGTGGGTCCCATGGGACTACTATAAGGGGGAAGCAATGGCTGCAGTCCTGTGCTACTTGGAAGCTGGGACACACTGTGACGGAGGAGCGACTACCCTCTTCGGTAACTGGTATGTGTAAACATTCTGTCTGCTGTCATTTTTTTGTATTGGGTACTTTTTGGCTTTGCTTTTTGTTTGTTTTTTTTTCCCTCTACCTCCTTTGCAATCTGGGTCCATGGGATTTGGTTCGTTTGCTCTTCGTGTCTGTTGGTTGTGGGTATGGGACTAAGACTATGAATGCAGGTGGACAGGGTTGGCTGGCAGTGTATTGTTTCATGAATTGGGCGTTGTGACTTTGCAAGTTTGCTGGCTGATGTGTGGGCAAATATGTTGTGGTGTGTGTGTATATATGTGTCACGTACCTTACTTGTGAGCCTGACGGCGGAGGAAGGCCTCTCGTACAGCTCCAGTTTGAGGGCCACTGAAGGCGGAACAGCAACCACAAGAGCACAGCGGGTATGAGTGCCTGGTCAGTCCTGTAGTCTGTGTGGGAATTGCTGGCACTTCGCTGGCAGATGGGATGGCTGGACCGGCTGGCAGCAGAGCAAGCAGGCAATGAAGCAGGCTGGTAGCAGACTGTATGTAGGGTCAGACAAGCTGGGTCGGTAACAGATGAGCAGAGCAGACATGAACGGTAGGCCGAAGAATAGTCAGGTCACAAGCCAGGGTCAGCGATGGTGGCAGCAGATCAAGCAAAGTCAGAAGGCAGAGGCAGAGTCCAAGAAACAAGCTGGGGTCAATCATAGGTAATCACTCACAGGAACATGAATACAGGAGGGGGAGCTGCAGATCAGACAGCACATGCTAATAGTGCTGCTGGGTTTAAATAGTCTGATTGGCGCTAACATTAGCAATGGGCTGTCGTGTGTGTGCATACGCGCGAAAGCAAATGCACACGACTATGTGCAGCAGAACGGGCCCTCGTACATCTGGGCCTGCGCCGCTGTGCACTATGGCGAGCATCTTCCTGACAAAATGTTTGTGTGTGGGTATGTGTGTGCATGTGCAGGAATGTTGTGCGTGGCAGTGCATGTTTTATGTGTTGTTATATATGTGGTTGTGTAGTAGCAATTTCCACAAAACCAGATAAAACTCTTGACTTCGGACTTCTGAAGAAAGCAACTAATTTATTAAAAACAGCACTGTAGTGACCCAGCAGACAGCAAGCCGCTCTCATCTGCTAAGTGAGTTGTAGAAAACTTCTTACAAGCGTATATAGCAATGATTACATCACAAGGCATACATTCCTTTCCTACTTTCTATACACCCAAAAGGCTTCCTAAACTCTACAGAATAACCTTGGCCAGCAACTAGAGATAAGAAAATACCAGCTGCAGACCCACACTCAGGAAATAAGGGAGGAGGGAAGATGAGCCAAAAACCTTGCTTCTACAAACACAGGCTGCTAGAAATGTTAGAGTTTAAAGGGGAAACTCTATAACATCTGGGTCCCCACCATAGTTGTGGTGTGTGCAAATGTGTCGGCATGGATGGTGGTGTGGGTGTTGTGGTTGGTGTGTGTTAATGCGGATATGAGATTTGTCTCAGATGCGGCTGTGTATGTGAATGGTTTTGGGTTGTGGTTGGGTGTGGGTTTGTATGTGATGATGTATTAGTGAGCACACATGTATGGGTGGTTTGGACATTTCAGTGTTATGTGGTTATAGGGCATTTGAGGTACTGCTTGGTTGGCTAGAAGGATCCTGATGTAATGTGGGGACTCTGGGAACCCTGATTTTAGTGTGGGGGAACTCTTGGGAGCCTGATGTAATGCGGGGTACCTTTGAGAAT